CAGAACCTCTCTTAAGTCCTAAATCATTCCTTTATGAGATGGCCTAGAGTACCTTCACCTCTTTGCTGTCTTTCTTGTTCTTGCACCTACCTCTCTCCCTCATCTTTCCCACCTTCCAAAATTGAAATGTGAATCTTAAGCCTTTGGGAAAGAAATAAGCAATAACACTATTTTCCTCGTTAGTGAATTGAGTGAATCTCCTTCAAGTGCTGTATGTTTCCTATCTGGTTTTCTAGCTAGTTATAAAGAAGGGAGGTAAAGAAATGACAGAGAGATAGAAGTGTAGAAGAAAGATGAGATTGGGAAGGTTGTCAAGAGTGATGTGAGGAGAGCAGGAAAAGCAGGCAGCTGGGGCTAGAGGGGGAGAGCAATTGTGGATGGCATGTGGATAGGGTTGTACCAGTGTCATCTTCAAGACCACAGGGACTGCTACCAGAGTCATGAGCCTGTTTCCATCTGTGCCACCTTCAATTGTGCTCCCTGTTCAGGTTGCCATTTTTTAATCATTTCCTGTCTGAATCTCATGCTGGGCTGTCTGTCCATTTACAGTTTTCATGTCATTCTAACTGTAGAGAAAAGCCAGAAAGGTGGCTCCTTGTTATAAGGTGATGGAGCCCTGTCTGGTCTGGCCAGGCTCTGGAACTTTACTTCCCTCCTGCTGGCCAATCCCTGACAGGGCTCTGGCCTCCATCTACTGCTTGTTACTCTAAAAACAGGGCTACTTTTGTCCAATGTGTCAAACCAATTCTTGTTGCTGCCTCACTCTTGTTTCACTCTGTTCTTGAGAAGTATGCAGGCCACCGTGACTGTACTATGATGAAGAAACCATCTCTGACATCTCAGCTTATGTTTTTTTGAAAAATACTGAGATTTGGGTTGATTTACTCCCTTTTCCCCTTTGCCTGTTACTGCTTCTCTGCTTTTGTGATAGCTCTTCCTTCTGTTTATTTTTGAGCTTGTTCACTCTAGTACTATCTGGAGTGAACAGCCCTTAAAAGTCCAAATTATAGGCTATTCATGTATACATTGATTGAGTTTCTAATTCATTTAAAGCTATTTAAATAAGATGTATTCTAACAAGCTACACTATTCTAGTTGCTCAGTTGTCTCCATTGCAGATGCTGGGAAAATTAATAAATTAATTAGTTTATTTATTTATTCAGCCCTTCAGCCTTTTCCGCTCCCTATGCTGGCCAGAATCCAGCTTCCCACCCACCATCTGATGATGCTGAACAGCAGGCTGCCCTCCTGCTGGCCTGCTCAGGGGATACTCTACCTGCATCTTTGCCTCCAGTGAACATGTATGATCTTTTTGAAGCTCTGCAGGTAACTGTTAGCTCCTTAACACTTACCTAGTCTTCTGGACAGGTTAAATATTCCTCAACTCAGTGAAGATATTTACTAGCTTTCCTACTTTTTAACTTGGTTTTTAATCAGTTAAGCATTAAAAAAAATCATCTTTAAGTAGTTGTACAAGTGTTTCAGTTCAACATGTTGGTTCATGTGTACATTGCATGTTGAAACTGGGCTTTTACTGTTTTGGGGTGGTACTGGGGTCTCAATTTAGAGCATTGTGCTTGCTAAGCAGGTGCTTGTTTTTTGAATAGGGTTTTGCATCTTTGCTTGGGCTGACCTTGATCCTTCTATTTATGCCTCCTTTTAAGCTGGGATGATGGACATGTGGCACCACAATCAGTTTATTGGTTGGAATGGGCTCTTGCTAACTTCTCCCCTGCTGGGCTCACCTTAAACTGTGAGCCTCCTAATCTGTTTTTCAAATAGCTGGGATTACAGACATACTACACTATTTCTAGTCTGTTTTTTCACTTTTTTTAAAACTGTTAATTATTAAAGCCATCAATGCTAGCCTCATTTTAAAATCCTGAGCCAAGAAATCCCTTCTAATTTGGCACCCTTATCCCCTACCTCTCCAATTAAAAAGGGGAAAACAATCTTGTTTTTCCTTACTTGTGTTTCAGAACTTTTCTATTTCCTTGTCTTATCTGATTTGAGATTCATTAGGTTCTGATTTAGAGTTTATAGGTTGTGTCTGTCATGAATATTTTGCTGATTTCTAAATTACAGGTGCACAGGGAAGTCATTCCTACACATACTGTGTATGCTCTTAACATCGAAAGAATCATCATGAAACTCTGGCATCCAAATCATGAAGAGCTTCAGCAGGATAAAGTCCACCGACAGCGTTTGGCTGCCAAGGAGGGGCTTTTACTCTGCTAAAGTAGGATTTGAGAATGTGGGGGATCATCATTACTGATAATGGAATGCTTTTTTGGGTCCACATTTCAAGGCTGAAGTGTATAGTGTATATATAACTTTTCCTATGGAAATGTTACATTGAGTACATTTTGTGTTGCTACTGTGAAGCCGTTAGTTATAAATTTGACTGATAATGAACTATATGTCTGTCTTTATCTTCCCAACTGTGGAAACAGGCATTGATGAATTCTGTGCCCGGGATAGGGATGTTTAGGCAGCTAAAGCTTAGTGTTTCTGGTTTGCATGTAAGATAGCTGACAGAAGAAAAAAGCTCTTACAACTTGGTCTCTGTGACTACCACAGCATTTGTGTCTTCACTGATTTAATATATTCTCTATGTGGCAAGTCCAAAAGTGCTGCCTCTTCTAATCTGTATTGTCACATTTGGTTGGGATAACCTGTACAGTGTTAAAATCAGACACTTCCTTTAATGACCAGTAAATAGGTCAATTCGTCCTTGAACAATTTATCATTATAACTCCATAGAACGTGTGACTTGATAATCCTGTACCATTACACAAAAGAGTCATTTCTTTGCATTTACAACAACAAAAACCCAGAATTCTTGGACTGTAATTACTTTATTCTTTTCCCTGTAGCTCATGATACATTTTTTAGCATTAATATGTGCGGAGACTCAGGTTCACTATTTAAATTCCTATAGGATGTTTTGAGAAATCTTACAAATTTGATTTATGCCTACTAGTTCTCCTGTTCCCATGGAATATCTGTTTCAACCCTTCCAGGTGATGACATGAAAATGATTTACTTTTGGCAGTATTACTCATGACCAACTTGTTTTCAAGATAGGTAGCTTTCTATTTGAGAAAAACAGATGTTGATATAGATGGGTCTGTGTAGGTTGAAGTAGTGAATAGATTTATAAGTGTACATGTGGTTTATGTATTTGGATCTGTGTATTTGACTTTGTATTTTGAATGTGATAAATAAAACGTTTTAGGAGAAAACTTTTCTGTTGTAATTTTGTAAATATAGATGGGATACTACCTCCTAAAGAAGACTTGTTTTATGAAATCTAAGAATGTAGTAGATGAGAAAGATCTCAAAAGAAGGTTTCCTGGTGTGGTATGCCATTTCTTGCCTTTCTGATGTGTAAGTTAGACTAAAGAGAAAACAAAACAAACAAAAAAACATGCCAGGTGCTGGTGGCTCATGCCTGGAATCCTAGCTACTCAGGAGGCTGTGAGTTGAGGATCGCGGCTCAAAGCCAGCTTGGGCATGAAAGTTCATGAGACTCTTATCTCCAGTTAACCACCAGAAAACTGGAAGTGGTGCACTTGCCTTGAGCTGAAGAGCTGAGGGACAGCACCCAGGCCCAGAGTTCAAGCCCCATGACTGACCAAAAATCAGTAACAACAACAAAAAAAGCGCAAAATAAACTCCATCATCAGTTGTTGGCACAAGCCCTTTGAAGTGTTTGGTGAGAACCTTTAGGGATTGGGATTAATTTTGACTGACGTCCACACAAATGTAGTTTTGTTTTGTACGGCCATGTACCTGGGCCTCTGCTTACCAGGACTGTATTGTGATCATGGAGAGGCAGGCAGGAGCCTCAACCTGTCTTTGCCCTCTGCATGGCAGGTTCCACAATGGGAATCTTGTCCAGCATAGCATAAATTCCAAGTTAGGCAATCCCTCTCTACTCTAGGCGCTAGCCTAGTCGCCCCTCTGGTGGCACACAATGACAGATGACTCCCTTAGTCTCACCTGTTTCAGATGTGCATCTTTAAAAGGCCTGTTCTCCAGTCCCCTTGTCAAGAAATCAGTTTTGAATGTGGGAAGACGGGGTTGAGGACAAGGTAGGGAGGCAGAAAGAGTAATGATCTTGAAGAGATAGCCTGAGACTTGAACTTCATTCCTACAAAAGCTGGCTTCATCTGTGACACTGTCAGAGTGAGATATTGTGTGCAGCCCCTTCTACAATTAAGAAGTCATGAGTACTTGTTGCCAACCATCATTTAGAAAAACATTTGAATGAAAAACAAAGCTGTTAAAAACCAGGTATTTCAGAGTTACTCCAAGTGATTTATCCTGCAGGTTCCCAGTCATTGCTTTTTAGCCACAAGTGTATCAGTGTGCAAACACATTTGTGTAGGCCTGCTGCCTTTACCTTTATTGTCTACAGTGAGCAGCCACCCAAAGTTCCTGTAATACTTACCATTGCCTGAAGTCACTGGAATGTCCTAACGTTTCACTCTTTGCACAACAAAATGCCAACAGACTGCTTGGTTTACAAAGGAAAAATCCGATCTCTAAATCGTTCTTGGAGTAGACTACTACTTAGAGTCTATGGGCACGGTAAATCGTCAGGGCTAATTCTAACAACATGTAGATTTGATGCTTTTAAAAACACTTGTGAAAAGAGGATACCAATTTAGCTATATTCACTCACTTTAAATTTATGTCTTGTGGATTTCTTTCATGCTATTCTGGCAACATAGCTATTCTGAGGATATCTAAAACATGACCCTGGGGAACGGAATTATTAGTGTTCCTCCCCTCTATTTTGAAAAGCCAACTTAAAGTCATGCAATTCTTCATTCTGACTTCAAAGATACCAATGTTACTTTCAGTACATTCCATGGACACTTTTTGAGTCAAAGGTGTAAATATATTGGAACTGGATGGAGAATAAAGTTGAGGCAACAGTTTGAAATATAGCTTGTGACAATGTTAGTAGGTTAAGAAAACCACCATAGCCCACTGTTTTAATTATCAAAGTTTATTGTTGGGGTCAGTTCCTATCACTAGGAGATACAACTATATCTTGTGTGCTATACGAATTCTAGGCGAACAGCCTTTCTGCAAAACAGTTGGATAAGGGCTCTGTTAGGCATAGATCATAGTAAGGGAATGGAAGAGTGAGCCCAGAAGACCCTGACAGCAAAGCCATCACTCTAGGAAAGTTCCAGTGCTATGCAACCTATAAGGCATTATCTCGCAGCTGACAATGAGACTTGAGGTGATGGGGAATGAAACAGGAGTCGAACCCATTTTCTACTATTCTGGGCAAGACAACTGTGGCTCCCATGCAGGAACCTTAAATTAGATTTCATGACATCTTTTAAGCTCCCACTGCAAGAGAAATGACATGAAAAAGAAAGGGCTAGAAAGTACGCTAGTGGGAGGAAAAAAATTAAATAGAAATGGAATGGAAAATAGTAAGGTTTAAATGCCACTTCTGGATGACCAAAGGCATTATAGGTAAAAAAAAGCAAAGAGGGACTTAAGTCAAACACTGAACAGCATTCAGATACTAGAAGTGAAATTGCCCACCTTGTGTGTGACTGTGCAACTGGATTAAAAAGATCAGAAAAGGACCAACAGGAAAATGAGTACCTGAGTAGAAATAGGTGTTGCAGGAAGCCAAAAACATCTTATAAAATGTATGTGAGTCCAGTGTACAGGAAGGAGAAGTGGTTTTTGGAATGTTAATTCTAGCAATGGCTTTGTCTTTGAGGTTCTGATATACATTTTTTTTGTAGCACAGATAGCTTTGAAGAAATGTTTTCAAATACTCAAATTATGTGGGAATGCATGTAATGCATGTAAAAATCCAATGGCCTCCTGTTCTTGGAGGTTAGTCATGAAACAGCTGGGGCTAAAACCTTCCACTGTCTCTGTGACACGAACGTTACAGAAATTAAAACAAGTATCAGATGAGCCAAAGGGCCTTATACCATGGAGACAACAGAGTTCAGTGACTTCTGCAGGCAGCTTGAAAAACAGGACTTCAGTACTAAGTGCTTGCCTTATCATCAAATACAACAATGAAAAAAATAGGGCCATTAAACAAGACCCTAAAAGTCTAGCTGCCAACCAGATTTGGAAGATAAGTAAAACAGCATTATTTGTGTGAATTCCATCTTCCACAGTACTGTTGTTTGTCTATAGAAAAGCCATCTTCTGGCACCAGGCCAGTATGTGTTGATTTTATAGTTATCCTTAGTAAATCAGTTTCTCAAAAGGAAATGTGTAAGTAGCAGGTGTGCATAAGTGACATATTTGTACAAAATCTTTTCTGTAGTCTTGATCCATGTGGGGACAGGTTCTACTTTTGGAAGCATTTTCAAAGGCAGAGTATTGAGTTTTTTTTTTTTTTTAACCAAAGGACACCACTAGAGCTGTATCCATAAGATGTCTCTTGTTGGTGGTGAACAGATGGTCTCTTCTCCAGCCTACATCTTTGCTGGGTAGTATTTACACATTTCTTTGATGGACAGATGGAGTCAGCTCCAAAAGAAGACAGGGGCCAAGTTTCATTTCTGTTTTAGTCTCTGGTGTGCCTAAAGGTCCGAGATTTTGCTGACACTTCACGGGCAGGGCATGAGGGGCTGTGCCCTGAGACGTCCTGGCTGCTGGTGGATCTTGACTGTTGTGAGCCCCACACTGCCTCTTCCTGGAGCTCCCTGGGCATCCACACTTTCAAGAATGATCTTGAGGATTTTCCCCAACCGTTTCAACCATAGTGTCATTTGCTGGAAAATACAGAGAATCTTAAGTGTGAAGGAACCCCTGGATTTCTGGGTATTTCACTTAACAAAAATATTATTTTACCAGTTAAATTTCCAAATAGATGACAAAAAGTAGTTTCATGCCCATGTGTCTGTCTTCCCTTCCTCCCCCCCTCCTTCTTTCTTTCCTCTCTTCCTCTCCCTCTCTTCTGTGCTAGGGGTTGAACTCAGAGCTTTGCACTTGTGAGGCAGCTGTTCTACCACTTAAGCCACGTTCCTAGTCTTTTTGTTCAGATAGAGTCTCGAGTTCTTGCACAGCTTTGGACTGAGTTCCTATCTCCAGAGTAGCTGGGAATACAGGCATGTTTTGCCAAACCCATCTGGTTTTTGAGATAGGATCTTGCTAACCACAATCACAATGCTCCTGTCTGTGCCCCTGGAGTAGATGGGGATTACAGGCATGCTCTGTCAGATTGGCTCCTCTGATCCTCTCATTCACTGCAAATTCCTGACTGCTTCCATCACTTCCTCAGCAGCTGTACAGAGAACTATAGCATTCTGGAAGAGCAAATGGGAGGCACACAATGGAATATTATGCAGTCATTAGAAAGGACAAAATTATGGCATTTGCAGGGAAATGATGGAGCTAGAAGAAATCATGTTGAGCGAGGTAAGCCAAGAGTAAAGAGACAAATGTCACATGGTCTCCCTGATAAGTGGATGTTAAATCCAAAATGTAAGGTGATAAAACAAGTTCACAAGACTTAAGAAACAAAGGACTTCCACACAGCTGGTCGAATCACCACTAAATAACCCCATGCTGCTGATCATATATATGGTATATATGTGCACATTGGAGGGAAACCAGGAGGAGGACACAGAACTAGAGGGAATCAGGGAAAATCAACAGCTGGATCCATCATCTGCACTGGACATTGATCAAAATGAACTAAGCAACTCAATGGCAGTGACAGGAGGGAAGGAACAAATGGGAAAGAGGGAACAGCTGACGCTATGCAAAACGAAAGAAATGTACATATCACCCGATGTGGAAGAAATAACTATTGTCAAACATCATAGAACTCATAAATGTTATAGACTACGATAGACAATTGCCCCATGAAAGTTAGAATGTGTTTGTGACTTTAAGCATCACTATCCCACAATACTGTGAAATTTGGGAACTTTATGTAATCACTTAATCACAATAAAGAATTTGAAAAAAATTAAAAAATTCCCTGAGAAAGGGAAAAAAAAACTCAAACCCCCAACAAAATGGCAGAAATTATTACATACTTTTTAATAATGACACTGAATGTTAATAATCTCAATTCTCCAATCAAAAGACAGTGTGGTAAGTTGATAAAAAAGCATCACCTGACCACTTGTTGTCTACAGGAAAGGCATCTTGAAGGAAACTGAAGACACTAGAAGATGGAATGAAGACTCACTGCTTATGGCTTGGCACAATTAATAAATAGTTATACTACCAAAGCAACTTACAAATTCAATTCAATCCCCATCAAAATGCTAATGTCATTCTTCATAGAAATTTGAAAATTAATCCTAAAAATTCACGAAAACACAGAGGATCTCAAATAGTCAAAGCAATCTTGAGAAAAAAAACAGTAATGCTGGAAATATCACAATGCAGGCTTCAAGTTACAATACAGAGCCATACTAACAAAACCAGCATGGTATTTACACAGAAACCTACATGAAGACTAATTGAACAGAATAGAAAACCATGAAATAAATCCACACAGCAACAGCTATCTGATTTTTGACAAAGGAGTCGAAAACATAACTAGAAGAACAGATAACCTTCAATGCTTGGTAAACTGTTTATCTACAGAAGAAACTATTTTTATCTCTTGTACTAACATCAACTCAGAGTGGATCAAGGATCTTAATCTAAGACCTAAAACTTTGAAACTACTATAGGAAAGGATAGGGAAAATACCAGAACATACAGGCATAAGCAATAACTTCTTGAATGGAATTCCAATAGCTCAGCAATTAAGAGCAAGGATTGACAAATAGGATTGTATCAAAATAAAAAGATTCTGTGCAGCAAAGGAAACAGTAGATTGAAGAGATAGCCTAGAGAATGAAAAAAATATTTGTCAGTCACACATCTAACAATGGATTAATAACAAGAATATACAGGGAGCTCCAAAACTAAATTCCCAAAGAATCAAATCCAATTAAAGGGGTAAATATACTGAACAGATAGTACAAATAGCCAATGAACAGACAATTCTCAGAATAATACAAATAGCCAATAAATACATGGAGAAATGTTCACTATCCCTGGCCATAAAGAAAATGCAAATCAAAATGACATTGAGATTTCATCTTTCTCCACTCAAAATTACCATCAAGAATACAAATGAAAATAAATACTAGTTAGGATGCAAAGGAAAAGGAAACCTTACATATTGTTGCTAGTAATGTTAACTAGTACAACCACTATGGAAATCAGTTTGGAGGCTCCTTAAAAACAGAACTACAAATAATCCAGTGATTCCCTCTCTTGGGCACATATCCAAATAAATGTAAGTCAGTATCTACAGAGATACTAGCACACCCATGTTCATTACAGCACTATTTACAATTACTAGGCTATGGAAACAGTCTAGATGCCCTATAACTGATAAATGGATTAAGAAAATGTGGTATGTATGTATATATATATATATATATATATACATATATACATATATGTATATATATATACATATATACATATATGTATATATATACATAATTGAATATTATTTAGCCATAAAGAAGAATGAAATTATGTCATTTGCAAGGAAATTGAAGGAACTAGATGATGTGTTAAATGAAATAAGCCAGGTTCAGAATGTTGCATGTTTTTTTCTCATACATGGATCCTAGATCTGAAAGATAAACATGTATGTAATCACACACAGTATCAATCACACATACACACACACACACACACACACACACAGAGGTTAGTAACAGTGGGTCTATTTGAGGGGATTTGGGAAGGAGGAAAAGAGAATGGTGGAGGGTAAACAATGAATCCCTGATGACCAAAGATAACAAAACCAAACTTACTGTTGAATAGCAGGGGTAGTGAGAATAGGAACCATACTAGTAAGTGAGGTGTCAACTGATTAAAATAATGCCATCCTGATGCCAGTAGCTCATGTCTGTAATCCTACCTACTTAGCAGGCTAAGATCTGAGGATCACAGCTCAAAGCCAGCCTGGGCAGGAAAGTCTGTGAAACTCTTATCTCCAATTAACTACCAAAAAAAGCTGGAAGTGGATCTGTTGCACAAGTGTAGAGTCATGAGCAAAAAAGCCATGAGCAATAAAGCTCAGAGACAGTGCTCAAGCACTGAGTTGAAGCTGGCACACACACACACCGTGGGGGGCGGGGAGGGGGGAATGGAGAATGCTTCAAAATGTTATCTGGAAAGAAGAGAGGGAAGTATAAAAATAAAAATGACGTTACTCTAAGTTTGGTAGGCAATAGAGTCTGAATTCATGTTTTTTTTTGTTTTTTAAAGAGTGGGGAACATGACGAAAGTGATTTCAGTGATTTTTAATGCCATAGTAAAAACTGCTTCTTGCTCAATTTAAATTCTAGGAACCCACCAGAATTACCCCAGAGTTCAATAACATGAGTTCAGCTTGTTGTAGAGTCAAGGAAGGAGCCTATTGGTTTTCTTTTTTGCTGGTACCAGGTTCTGAAATCAGGGCCTCCCAACTGCTTGGCTGGTGCTCTTCTACTTGAGTCACACCGCTAGATTTGTTTTTTGAGACAAACCAAAGAAATGGAGTCTTACTTACATTTTTGTTCCAACTAACCTGGAAATGTGATCCTCAGGATCTCAGCTTCCTGAATGGCTAAGATTACATGCATGAGCAACCAGTACCTGATGTCACTTTTGAATACACCGATGTACTTATACAGTGGGAAAGTAAGAATTCTACTACCATTTCACTTGGAGAAAAAAATGAAAGTAGAAGAGACACACAGAACAAAATATAAAAGGACTCTTGCCTTTTATATACTACATCTGGAAGCATAGATTGACAATTAAGAAAATGAGAACAAAGTTAAAGTGAGTTGTTCTTTCTGCATATTACCAACTCTGTGGCCATTTTCTTCTTTCTCCAGGTGTGTAGGTGGGGAGGGAGGTTGAGGGAAGCTGTGGACTTATCCCCCAGTATTGGCTCTTTTGGGCACCTACTCCTTGTATCCTTTCAACTCATCTTCTGTACTTCAAAATCTCAATCCTATTGTCCTGGGTCTTTTAACCTGGCTCACTGTAGTCCTAGACTACTGGTGCCAAGACTGGGTTTAAAAGTACTTTCCTTCAGACCTCTGCTGACTACAAGCAGTTAAGGAAATTGTCTACTTGATCTAAAGGTCTATATGAGACTAAGATGCATTTTAAAACTTCTGCATTTCCTAGGAAAAAGCAAATGGGAGCTAAATATATCACACATATATCTATACATATGTATATGTGTATATATATGAATATATGTATGTGTATATATATATATTTTTATATATATACACATATACATATTTAATCTTTATGATGGGCATTGTGTGACCAGCTAAGGAAGAGCCCTGAAACCCAGAGACTACTATTTTGAATGTAGACTTCATGTTCACTTGTGTCATGGGCCTATAGGCCAGTAAAAATCAATACAACAGTCCCAACTAAATCAGGAACACATACCAGTCCTAAAGGCTTAACATGATTTATAGGGAAAAGAGAAGTCTTTCAAAAACAAGTTTTTATAAACTATGCCATGTCAGAATGGGCCTTTTCAGGCCCAAATAACTTCTTCTGTCGTTATAGCTCTCAGATCTAATGTTTTGGAAGCTCACCATTTGTTCATTTTACTTATTATTTAGGTTCTGACTTCAGAACCAAATATATACAAAGGAAGTCAAACAATCAGTTGCCTATAAATAAGAAAATTCTGGTGGCCTGTCATCTATACTCATGCATACTAGAATCTAAAGAAATCAAAAGTAGGGAAAAGTAATGAGATAGTGTGTGTTGAACAAGAGCAGGGCCATCATTGAACCTAACGAAGCATTTATTTCCAACCACTTACCTTGGTCCTTCAGTTGCCCTCAGTCATGCTCTCAGCATCACATTCTTTCGGTGGTTCTCCTCCTCCTGGCAACTCACTTTCGATTTCCCACAGTTCATCATCTTCTTCCTCCAAGTTGCTAGAGATGTGGCACTTCTTGAACCCTTGGACAATGGATTCACTTGAGATGCTGTTCCATGCCACCATGACCCATTCCAGGAAGAGACCCAGGGGTGGTTTCTTGGCATTCCCAGTAGGGCTGAGCGCCAGGTTCCCAGCCAGAAGCCAGTTAGAGTACTGGGCACGCACACTGTCATTCAGTGGCTTGTAGACCACCACATCCAGCACCTGCAGCTGTGGGGTTAGGCTCCCGGGGATGATCACCATGTCCGTGTTCAGACTCTCCATGGAACTCTTCACAGAATCAGTGGCATGTCCCCGGAAGCCATTCAGGATCAGCATCCCTCGTTGCTTGGGAAGTGCTCCTGTCCTGCGTCTCCACACCACTTCCAACCAGTCCTGCATCAAGTCTTCAGTCATCCACCCATAGCGATGGCAGCGGATTTCCATCCCGCTGGGGAACTTTCCTGGGGGGATGTAGGTTCCCCTCAAAATGATATATGGAGGTAACTTCTTCCCATCAGCCAAGACACCAAGCATGGCCGTGATCCTTAGTTTCTCCCTGCCTGGAGTCTTGACCAACACAGGTTTTTCACCCTGGTTGTCAACAGTAACCCTGGATGGCACCTCCAAGCAGATGGGTGTCTCGTCTGCATTCCCCATCTGTGTCACCTCGTAGTCATGCGCCCTGCGCAAAGATAACACGGTCCGCTGGTAAGTGATGAGCTTCTCAGTCAGGTCTTCAGGCAGGTGCTGGGGTACAGGTACTTTGTGCCTCAGAGACAGGTCATACCTTCTCATCATTCTTCGACACCAACCCAAGCTTGCTTTGAACCCTTTCTCTGGAATGTTCATTTCCTGGGCAATTTCAAGAGCTTTCAGCTGCATCGCCTCCCTGGTTATGGGGTCCCCTTTGGCCTGCATGTATCTGACATACTCAGCCACGCGTTGGTCCACCAGAGCAAACCTGCCATTCTTGGGGCCTCGAAATGCCCGTCGCATGGCATGGGCATTCTGCAGCTGTGGCTTCACCTTGCGCCAGTCTCGAACGTTTTTTTCGAATACTCCAAACTGCTTGGCAGCCTGGCAGTTGTTGGTGCTCTCGGCATACTCTACCACCATCAACTTGAATCCTGCGTCATAACTGCGGCGCATGCCCCGGCTGAACTGAAACTTCCCAGCTATGTCATCAGCCGAGAGGTCATACCCCGGGAAGCCCATGGCCATGCAGAAGGGATACCCCTCACTCCATTCAGGCAGCTCAGTGATGTCCCGAGGCAGGCGCAGACCAAAGCTGTCAAGATGCTGAGGCTGAGGGAAGTGGGAGGTGGTATTCATGGGGGTTGCCCAATCTGGAGGCTTCACATCAGATTCTTCATTTTCTGGGAGACAAATGAGGGGGAAAAGAAGTCAGTGATTAAGTGGCTTAATCCTTGATTTTTTTTTGAGTCAAAATGTTTAATAAGGTTCACCAAAAATAGTAACTTGAATAATAGATAATACTAAGTTGTTATCCCGGTGTTAATTTATACAGATTCCATACAGACTCAGCCACGGTGGCCATCAGTGTTCCTTCTCTGTAGATGAGGTGAGAGAAACTACAGAGGTTATAAATGGAGTCAAGATTGCCAAGCTAGGACATAGCAGGAGAACTTGGGACACAGGTTCCAAGTGTGGATCAAATAAAAGCGATGCTATGTTGGGGTCCAAAAACAGTATTTATGTGGATGAGAAACCAAATACAATTCACCGTGCTTGTGCTTCCTAACATTGCAGAGCTTTGGTGGAATCATAGCCCTTGAATCAAAAAAACCTGTAAGAAAATTCATGCCAGCAAATTTAAGTTTATAGTTTTAAGTTGGTTCTTGCATACCAATGTGTATACTTATATTTGGAAGATCATTACAGAAATGCAATATGATTGGAAGATTTCTCCTTTCACCAAAACTAAAATGCTATCAATTGTAAAATGCACCTTTATGTGCTACTAAAAGAATTAACAAAATGCCTTTAGTTCTAACAATCACATGCAATCTTTTCCACAGGTCTTCTCAATTACATAAAGTGGCAGGGAAAAAAGTGCTTTAGAATCAGTAAAATATGGAAGCTATGCTGTATTTTTCCAACTACTGCTCTCCTAATCTTTTTTCATGTTGATAAAAAAAGAAACTAGGTGCCTCTTAAGACTTATCTACTCAAATGTGAACTGTGGCCTTTTATATCCAGGATGAAACAGACAGGAAGCTCAGGGTAAATACACTGGATGCACACTTCCTCTCACTAGTACTGAGTTTGAAGAAGCATGGCATGTGGCATGCTGCTGATGTGGCCACACTCAGCCAGAAAGTGCACTGGACCACACACCATGAAAACTTCATTTTGCTCCAGTCAAATATAAGGTCACACACATCAAGGCTTATTTAAATCTACAACTGACCAACGAGGAGACTGAGGCCCAGAGAAATAAAAGAAGTTGCCTAAGGTCACAAAGAACTGTCAAGAGATTTTTAAACTCTCCCATTTTTAAAGTCCATCGTCATTGTGCTTCATCTCTCAACATCCCACAAAATGTATGCAGAAACTGAAAATCCGGCTTTAAGATGCTATTAGGGCTGACACTGAAGTGTAGTTGTAGTACCTGTAACGGGTCCTCCTTGTAGCTGCCACTCCTCAGAATTATGAGACTCTTCCTCCCGTTCCAAACGAGTGATCATGTCTGGCTTAGGGAATGGGAATTCTGTTCACAGAAAATAGAATAGGTAACAATTGGGCTACTGTCCTGAAGCAATGCAAACCTAAGTATTTTATAATACTTAAGAAACCCTATTCCCTCCAATTGTAAAATATGGGACAAGTTTGGTGATACTCAAAGAAAAAAATATGATAGAAAATACATCTGTCTGAGGGCATTTCTGGATCTCTGTGAATGAGGGCTGGGGCCAGCATTGGGCTTAGTATAATAACATAAAAACTGCATTTAGCAGAGAAGTGGGTGGAGGCTACCACAGATGCAATAAGCATGCTGGTACTTCTGTGAGCAACCTGGGCAATCCAAATGGATCATGTGGGAGTGTGGGAGTGTGTGTGTGTGTGTGTGTGTGTGTGTGTGTGTGTGTGTGTGTGCATACTTTGGGGGACATGTCCCTATGTTTCTGAGGCTGATAACAATGAAGGCCTTTCTTCATTGTGGGCTTGTGAAGCACAAGCTCAAATACAAGGTGACATTTCTAAAGTTGTCCTTCTTGGGCTGGGAAGGTAGCTCAGTGGTAGAGGGCTTGCCTTGCATGCATGAGGCCCTGGGTTCAATTCCTCAGCACCACATAAGCAAAAAGAAAAAAAAGCTGGAAATGGCACTGTGGCTCAAGTGGTAGAGCGCTAGTCTTGAGCTGAAGAGCTGAGGGACAGCTCCCAGGCCCAGAGTTCAGGCCCCACGACCGGACCCCCCCCAAAATAAACAAATAAATAAAAAATAAAGTTGTACTTCTTTAAAAGTGTCAAAGCCTGGGTTAAGCTCATTCTAAGAGGTGGCATGAGCTGAGTAGAAAAATATAGTATGTATAATATATACACCCTGCCCAATCACAAGTAGGGAATTAAGTGGGCACATTCAGCAGAGAAGGGTGGTGGGGTATACCAGGGAAGAGAGATGTGTAATTAATTCTCTGGGCTCAGAGCTTCTGGGAGATTAAGGGAAACAACTTTACCCAGGGACAGAACAGTTTCATAATTCATCCTCATCACTTCCCGGTAGAGGGCCTTTTGTTGGTCCGTCAAAACTTCCCACTCCTCATCAGAAAAATATATGGCCACCTCATCAAATAGGGCTGGAACCTGCAACATGAACAGGTCTTTCTCAATGCACATGCAGACAGATGTTCAGACTTCAGAAGATCTCGTGAATAAGTGGGCTTAGCCCTTCCTCTCACAGTTCAGGTCATGGTCCTGACTTGAGGAAAATGGCTTGTTCACATTCATATAGCTACTGGGGGCAAGATGAGGCAGGAAAGAGCACAGTACCCTACTACAGCCGCTATCACACCCTCTGCTCACCAACACAGCAAGGGCAGCGTGAAAAGAAAACTCCCTACTGCCATCAACAGGCTGGGTGCCCTGGATGTTGTACTCATGCAATGCATGAGAGCAGCTCACCGTTCACCTGACTCCAGAGGCAGAACACTAATCCTGCCTGGAGAAAAGTGCATCCAAGGGGCTGGGAAAGTGAATTAGTGGTAAAGTGCTTGCCTTGCATGCATGAGGCCCTGGATTTGATTCCTCAGCACCACATAAGCAGAAAAAGCCAGAAGTGGTGCTGTGGCTCAAGTGGTAGAGCGCTAGCCTTAAGCTGAAGAGCTTAGGGATAGTGCCCAGGCCTAGAGTTCAAGCCCCATGACCGACCAAAAAAAAAAAAAAGTGTATCCAAGTCACTCATCTTAATCTGTACCTCTCTAGACCTCCTAGACTTGCAGCCTAAAAGGAAGAAGAGCTGGATGTGTAAATTTACATAGGGCTAAATGCTTTCCACAGACTTTTATGGTTTTCTGGGGCATCACATTCCAAAGGTATCAATCTTATTTGATTTGGAACCCAGGGCTGCCCAAAGATCCATCAAGGCCTTTCCAATCCACAAGAACATGAATTGGAGAAGGGCTAATTAGATCTTAATTTATACTATGAGATGCCAGAGCAAACCTGATTACTTTGATGCCCAGACCAGGGCTGCAGTGTTCCTGTGCAGAGAAGCTTGCTCCCTCTCTTGTCCCTCTATCCCCACTCTCTTCCTTATAGCTAGGGGCTGCAATGACCAAAAACAACCTTCTCTTTGTTTTAAAAATACTTTGCTTTACTTTCTACTCTATGTTCTTTTCTTTTGGCTAATAAAAACATCTTATTATAAAGCCCATCACATTCAAAGGTAAGAAATCACTGGACAGCTTACAGCAGGGTGGCCACTTCACATCCTCTCCAAAGCTATTCTCCAAAGCTTGAATCCAAATCCTGGGTCTGGGGATCCATTGTTTGTTTTGTTTTTGTTTTTGTTTCTCATCCTAAAAAAAACCAATGTCTATATAGCCTGCAGTGTTTTCAAGTGTCAGGTCATCAATCATTCTGACACCCTGGTCTTTCTTCCCTGACTCAGTGAGACCATTTACTATCTTTCCACCCTTACAGCATCTCCCTGATTTTCTCCCAACAAACTTGTGGATGAATAAAGATATACCAGTTAAACCCAGGGGAGAAAAACGGGTTCAAATAGGCATCATTTCCAGGCTGAAGTCAAACAGCTAGTAAATGGCATGGTGAGATGTGGACTCTACTATCTGATGCCAATGAGACACACAACTGAGAACAAAGTTGTTTTCTGGGTGAATAGTCCTTAACTCTCCCCCACCTCTGATCTAGCTATACCCAGCTCTTACTGTCCCATGTCACCTCTGCCATTCTTCCCCCTGGGCCTCCTATGTTCTCTGCATTCTTGACCTATGGACACACATTCATCTTTTTAAGACTTCAAGACCACCCTCTTCTCCAGGAACGCATTCTGTCCTAGGCTGTGAGCATACGTACATGTGTTCAACACTATGGTGGCATGGTCACACTGCACATTGTTTATTTGTCTGTTCTCTCCCCTAAAATGAGTTTGCCAAGGACAGGGGTGCATTTACTCTGTCTTATTTCCCAAGTCTAGCACACTCGAATAGTGACTTAAAATGTGTTTTTGAACTAGTGAGGCAAATCATCTCTGAATTTTCCCTCTCTTCTGGCACATGGACCATTTTCAAAGCATTGTTAAGTTTAATCTGTCAAAAAATTCTCTGGAGGAAGAATGGACAAAAATTGATTTGTTTCTGAGCTTTCCTCAGACTTCTTCCTCAACCTGACCAGCGAGACAGCCCAGTGATTTTCTACCCCACTACTCCCTTCACACTTCTCAGGCTTTTAAACAACTTTCTCTCTGGCCTTTCCTGTCCCTATGAAGTTCCTGATGTAGGCCATACCTATTTATAGTCACTTTCCCTTTACTGACAAAATGGGGCACAGGCCTGGCCCTGTCAGTTCTTGTAGAAGATCTGGAAAAACACCAGATATCAGGAGCACAGATGTTATGAGAAGTCTAGAAGCTGGTATGTGTGGGATTTGTCCCCTCCTAGTAATGCCTGAACCCCAGAGGAACTTCAAACAAGCCCACATGATGTGCCATAGGCACAGAGCAGGGGATTAGAAAGGCTCCCTCACAGCGGCCCTCTGTGAGAATGAATCAAGCCTTCAGCCAGGCTTTGCTGTGCAGGCCTCCTTTGCTCTACACAGCCCTTTTATCTGGCCAAACACAGCAGAAGGTAAACAACACTGGCCCTGGACACATCTGAGAAGTTGGGCAGTCTGAATTCCATCTTCAGTGACCCTTTCTTGGCTTCAAAGGTAAAGGCTCTCAATTCCTGTCTTCCTCCCTGCCCTCAGAAGATCAAGGACTCACAGGATAGGGGGTATTCTATTAGCTGTGTGCACTGCCTTGCTCTCCCTGGGCATTCCAACATTAATCTCCAAGTGCAAGTGTTGCAAAGTATTTACATACTGCACAGCTCCACTGAAGCCTTACAGATACTCAGCAAAGCTGGTAGGGATCTGAGGGTAGCCAGTCTACACTGATGTACCAATGCAGGTACTCCTGTTTATACACATATATTATCTATATGAAAGCCTCTAAATACATAATGGATATGGGAATCACTAACCCACTTTTATGGGTAAGGAAACAGTAGTTAAGTAATTTGGCAAACGTTACAGAGGTAGAGTCTGATTCCTAACCCTGTACTTTCTCAATAGGCCACTGAAGCATTAACAAGGTGTCTGTAGAGCCTTAAGCTTTCCTTAGAAAGATGGATTCAGGAATACTAAGAAAAGCCCACACTCCCCAGCACAGAATGCCATGCTCTGGCCTATGGTGGCCCTGACCCCTGGCTGACCCTGGTTCTTAGCCAATGGCCCTGCTTACCACATTCCCCATCTGGGCTTCCCAACTCTATATGTACCTTCTTTCTCCAGTGCCTTTGGAGGTACAAACCCACTCTGTTCCCTTTCATGACTGATGCTCAAAATACATCTTTTCCACTTCACATTTTACTATCCTAATGTAGAGAATGGTTCTTCTGTTGAATGGCTTTTATTACTTTGGAATATGCATTTAAGTAGAATATGCATTTAAAATATAGGTTCAATTCTTTCCTTCCCCTAATTTAATAGTCTAGAGCAGTTTTTCAACCTCATACTACTTGGGGCCAGATAATTCTTTGTTGTATCAGAGGGTTTTCCTCTGCACTATAGTTGTACAGGTAGATCCTTGATCTCAACCCATTAGGTATACCAGTAAGATCTCCTACCCCCTTACTCCACCTTGAGGATGAACAGCCAAAATGTCTCCAGATATTGCTAAATGTCCCAGGGTGAGAAGAGGACAAACCAGTCCACCATTCTAGACTAAGTCATCTCTGCAAAGCAGTCTCTAGCCTAAGTGAGGCTTTTTTGCTCCTGGCTGCTAGACTATCCTGAACTGACCTACAAATTACAATGTATTCATTTGTACACCATCCTATTAATTATGCTGACTTTCTTGCCTGGCTCTTAAGATAAGAAACTCTTCTATGTGTGTAGGTAGCACTGTACACAGTAACTTCAGATGTGTGGCAGATTGCCTGGAGGCCAAAAATGACCAATCTCATCACTATGAAGCTGCCAGACTCCCTTTTTTGAATCATCTGGTTACTTCCTTCTTTCCTGCCCCAAGCATCATCTTCATCTTGTTCTTTTTATCCTTGTCCAACACATTCAGATGTCCCCTTTTACTACAGCTGTTTTTCATGCTTCTCTACTCCATTTGGAAATTCTAGGTTAGCCAATGTAGCCTCAAAGCCCAGGCTTTCCACTGTCTTGAGGTTTCATTACAGGCCAGAAGTGACTGAATCCTACCTGGATCAAAACTTGGAAGGAGGGCAAGATAGAACACTGAGGAGACCAAGGAAGTGGAGCTTGATTAGTAAACTCAAAGCCTGAGTTGCACTATTTGCTTTTACTGAGTTAATATACAATAGCAAATGCACAACTTTTAAAGGTACTGCTTAGGAGGTCTTTTTTTTTTTTAAAGAGTATCACTGTTCACATGTATACAGGGAGCAAAGAAGATCACTTGTCTGTACTCCTGTAGGAGAGGGTTGGACTGTTGGACTAGATAATGAAGAAGTGCCATGGTTCTATGAATTAGGGCTTCTCACTATACACAAGATAAACACATGAAGTCCAATAACTGTGAAAAACTATCCATAGATATAAATACCTATGGCTCTAACATTTGTGTAAGTTCCCTCTAGTTCTTTTACACTGCTCTGTTTGCATGTGTGAAATCTGCATATTCCCACTGCTAACCCATTCAATTCAGACCAGGTGGGTATACAGCTAGATTCCCTTCATGTCAGCTTGATGAACCAACTTTGATATAAAGTGAGTGGTTCCCTGTGACCAGCAGTAAATCAGCAAATAATTATCTGATGTTTACAATGTACCTGGCACCAAGCAAGGTATATAGGGGAAATGGGAGGCACAAAGTCCCATCTTCTGAGACTTCCAATCTATTGATCAGCCTTGTGGCCAAAGGAGCTGTTCCCACAACCACCTCCTCCATTCTTTGCACTGCCATTTAAAGCCATAGTGTTTTCTCAGGAATGCACACACACACACACACACAGGACTGGGCTACTTTTACTTTCCATGTCTACTTTAGAAGACTTAAAATAAAGCTTGACTTTCAAGCCTGGCCCCACACCTTACTTACCCATCCACCTTCTGAGCAGATTCGTACTTTTTGCATATCGGTTGGGCCATCCTTCAGTTCCTGGCACTGAATCTCTTCTTCTTCCTCTTCTTCTTTCAGGGTCAAATTGAGAGGGTAGGTTGTAGACTCCATTTCTGCAAGCAAGATTTAAGTTCAAACAAATCAGGTGTCAATGGGAACTTTCCAAAGCCAGTAAGAGAGAGACTTGGCTACACATCAACTTCCATAACCCAAATGTTGATGGAGTTGAGCAGAGTGGGGGCCTGAGAAGAAAAGGTTATGGGAAATCCCAGAAAGATGGATAAGAAACAGTGATAGAAATAGGATAATAACAGTGGATAGAAAACCTATCTGGTTGTCTTCAAATACTTTTTTTTTAAAGCTTTCTGTGCCAGAGACTGGACTGGATTGTAGAGATGGAAAGAACAGAACTACGGCTGGTGGTGGGTAAGCATTCCAGGATGAAGTTTTAAACAGTACAAGGGCAGGCTGAAGTTTCCCACAGCCAGTACTACCCAAACACATCCTCAGTGGCAGCCAAGAGGTGTTGATCTGTTATCTGTGAAATGTCTGGAGGCGGGGCGGGTCAGGTACTCAGCTGGATTGGTCCCAGACACTAATGAAGGAAGGCGAATGGTTTGCACATCACCTTTCCAAATTCACAGGCGCTGTCCACGAGCCAGTTCAAAAACTGGTCGTTCTGTCTCAAAGGAATTCCCAAACCTGAGTCGGTGGAACGTAATGAGGGGTATGCCTGGAATTCTCTGGAAGGGATCAAACTACTGTGACCTACCCGCACCAGGAAACGACACCCCTCTACCACGGCGGCCTAAGAGCCTGATTCCCTACAAGCCGATGCACCTCAGCCCTGTCCCCTAGGGGAGCGGCAATTCCTAGGTGAGGGGTTTGTGTTCGCCCAGAGCCTCATTTCCTCCAGGTCCTCCAAAGCAAAGCCCCTTGCAGGAGTTCAAAGTCAGCTTCAGTGTTTTCCTACAACGATGGGTCTGGGCCAAGCAGAACGGGCTTCAGGCCCGAGGGTGGGGCCTGAACGAACTTGGTCACGAGTCCCACGGCAGTACCGGAGGGAAGGGGGCCACAGCCGAGCCGGGGGTGCCCGCAGCCGGGCCAGCCGGGCCGCCGCGGTCCGCCCCGCCCCGGCCCCGCCGCGCCCCCAGGGCGCGCTCCGAGTTCTCCAGCCATCTTGTCCTCCCTTTCTCCGCGGACTGTGCCGCTCCGGCAGCGCCCCCTCCGCCCGTCCCCACCCGTCCCCGGCGCACCTGCCCGGGCGCGGAGAACCGGCGCCGCCCGCCGCCCGCCTCCCCCGGCGAGCTCGCAACAAAGGCGGCCGCGGCCGGCAGCGGCAACCCCGGCGCCCCCGCCCCCGCCGCGGCCCAGGAACCTGGCCCGGAGGAGGACGAACCGGCGCCGCCAGCGCCCAGCCCCGCCCCGCCCCGCCCGGCCCCGCCCGCGATTACGCACCCGGCCGCAGGGGGTGGGGTGGGCGCGTCGGCGGCGGCCCCGGCTGTCACTGCGCCATCCCGGCCGCCCCTCCGGCTTCCCGTGCGCGCGGGCCCTCGGGAGGGAGCGCGGAGAACACGTGGTGGGAGGAGGGAGGGTCCGGCCGGCAGCTGAGGGTGTTGGGAGGCGAGGGGGAGGAGCGCGGTTGATGTCAGCAGGCCTCGGCGGCGCCGGGGGACGGCGTCCGCGCAGCTCCCGGACCCTCCTCCCCGTGCCGCTCCCGGACCCTCCTCCCGGCGCGCGGCTTCCGGCCGGCGGCGCGCCGCCCCGCGGGGCCCCCCGCGGTCAGGGTATCCCCGGGCTCCCGGGACCTCTGCGGCTTGCCTCTACCCTCCCGCTCCCCCGTGCAAAGCGCCGGGCCGGGGGTGACCGCGGCTGCGAGAGCCCAGATTTATTTTTATTTTTCAGCAGCGTGTAATGTGGGAGCCCACGTCCATGTGCTCGTTTGCGTTCGCCAATGGCTCGCTCTGGCTCGGAGGAGTGCGCACAGTGCCCTTGCCTGGCTTCATCGACTTTGCCTGCCAGACCAGACCCGCAAGAAGGCCAGTGAAGGGTCCAAGGTCTTTAGGGAAGAATGTTTCTTTTCGGGCACTTTTCTTTCTGCTCCAGAACTTCGTTCTCAATATGCTAGAGAAGAGAACTTCGTGGGTTTTGCAAGCGTTGCCTATCAACTCCCCAAGCATACCCTAGATGAAGTATCTGCAGGATCTTTCTTCTCTGATTGTTCAAAGGGTTGTTTGCTTTGCAACCTTGTGGACTGACTAACAAACATTATCCAGAAAATCCAGAAGGCTTCTGCTTCCAGATAAAGATAACGGGCTTGGGATTTTTCTGGGAGCTTTTTTTTTTTTTTTTTTTTTAAATACTTTTGGCATCGAGTCAAATACTAAGGGCGACTTTATTCAGAGAAAAGGGGGATTCAACATCAGAAGAAGTATAGAAGGGCTGAAGATTGACAGGCGGCAAGCAGAATAAGGGGTGTGTCATGGAAAATTACTGAAAGGAGCCATCACAAGTAAAGTGACTCTTCCTAAACTGACAGAACAGGGTTTTTGCTGAAGGGAGGTCAGGGTGATCAGATATCAAGGGTAGGGAAATGAATTATTTGTTCAGCCGTGGAGGTGATTAGATATCAATGGCTAAAACTGGCTTGACAGGATTCTCCGCAAATCCAGAGCAGGGCCGGCAGAAGGTGCACGAGGGGGGCCAAGATGGAGGCTAGCTCAGAGTAGTGTTCAAGAGCATGACTAAAGTTTGGTCTAAGAGGTGCTCTTCGTTGGACTTTTCAGATTGTCTCCAAGATGGGAGTACATGCTGGGATAGGTCTTTTTTTTTTTTTTTTAAGGTCCTGCCTATTGATTTATATGGAATTTTTGCCTTGTGAGAATCCTCTGTGGGGCTGTACTCTTAACAGTATGACAGACACATCTTTGGAGCGTTCGTTTTTTGTTTTCTTCCTCTTTTTTATTTTAATTTTATTGTCAAGGTGATGTACCGAGGGATTACAGTTACATAAGTAAGGTAGTGAGTACATTTCTTGTCTAACTTGTTACCCCCTCCCTTATTTTTCTCCCTTCTCCCCTCCTCCCAATCCCCCCTCCAAGTTGTACAGATAGAAACATTTCAACATATTGTCTTTTGAGTATCGCTGTTGCCACTTTGTCCTTTGTCTCACCATTTTGTTGTTCCCCTTCCCTTCCCTAGTTCAGATAAATGTATGTACAATACCCAGGTTACCAAAATCGAATACAGTGACAACAGGGGATAAACCATAGGGGGGAAAAATCACAAAAGAAAAAAGAAAAATGTAGTACATTGAAAACAACAACAAAGAAAAATCTCTTGTGTCCATATCTTGTAGTCTATTTCACTGAGCATCAAATTATATGGTCATATGTACATAGCTATTGAGCTATTCTGCTCCTCTGCTAAGATTATCCTAAATGTATACTAATTGTTAAAAATAAGGTAACCCAAGGGACCTATGTTTCTTTGGGTCTGGCTTACTTCAGTTAATATGATTTTTTCCAAATCCTCCCATTTCCTTACAAATGGGGCAGTGTCATTCTTTCTGATGGAAGCATAGAATTCCATTATACACACACATACACACCCACACACAGATATATTTTCTTGATTCATTCATCTATTGAGGGATCTCTAGGTTGGTTCCATATCTTAGCTATGGCGAATAATGCTGCGATGAACACAGTTGTGCTGTTTAGCTTTAGTGTGGCTTTGTTTGTGGTCATTTGGGTAAATGCCCAGAAGTGGGATTGCTGGGTCATAGGGGAGCTCTATGTGTAGTTTTTTTGAGGAACCTTCATACTACTTTCTAGAGTGGTTGAACAACACCAACAGTGTAGTGGCGTTCCCTTTTGGCTGCATCCTTGTCTGACATTTAATCCAGGGATGGAGACTAGCCAGATTTTTGGGAAACAAGGTTGGAATGTTTTGTTTGTTTTAGTGAAATTTCTTTTGTGTATAAAATTAGTATTTTCAAGTGGTGCTGTAGCTCAAGTGGTAGAGCGCTCCCCTTGAGCTGAAGAGCTGAGGGATAGCGCCAAGGCCCAGAGTTCAAGCCCCACAACCACCAAAAAAAAAAAAAGAAATTTTTTTTTTTAAAAATTAGTATTTTCAGAGCCAGAAATAATAACTTAATTTGATTGATATTCTCAGCTTAATTTTTCTGAGGAAGTGTCAGTTCATTCACATGGAAAAGAGAAAATGACTGCTAGGAGTAGAGAAGGATGCTGGGACATCTTAAAAGACTAATATAGACAATGATTTAAACCAAAAGCAATATTATGTTAGAGTTTTAGTCTTGAGAATCTAAGTGTTCTTATACAGTTTAATTATGTGTCCATGGGAAGAGGCTAACCAGTGACTCATTGAAAAGTTGGTTTCGAATTCAGAGCCCTATAATTTTAGTTACTATCAAGAGATCCACTTTTTTACATGTTTGTAATTACTAACAATTATGTTGAGTACAAAAAACACATAGATAAGCACAAAACGTTACAGACATATTTAAGTGGCTTTGTCAGTCATGTTGCTTCTCTCTGCTTGCATTTATTTCCCCATCTGCTAAATAGAGAGTTGAAGCAGATATCATTCATGGTGTCCCTTATCTCTCCTATCCAGGAATTTCATTATTGATATAACTTTGTATTTACCTAAATATGAGTGCCTGAACCAAATCTTTGAGACAGTGCTTGGTGTTGGTAATTCAGTAGGATGTACCTCTTTTAGTAAGTGATAATTAAATATCAGCAGAACAGTCAGTGTAATCAACTTTAAAGAGGCTGTTGGTCTTACTTTATCCTTACTTACTGCTTTTGAATCATTTCAGTATATAAGCCTGAAGAGGCCCTTCCCCTCCCACCTTCAGGTTCAAATTCTATGAAATACTCCTTTAAATGTAATGCCCCATGGCAAATGCACATTTATTTTTTACCTCCTTTGGTAGGGATTCTGTAGCCCTCAGGTCAATCTCCATTCTTCTATTCTTTGGGGCTTTGATTTAATTAGTAGTGTGATACTTTGTGTCTTCTCAATAATAGTATACATTGTGCCTTTTTAAGGTGTTATGTTCAATGCACCTTCACTTGGATTGGCCATGTGATACACTTCAGCCACCAGAATGTGGGTAGAAGTGACTACCTGACCTGCATAAGTCCAAGTAGAAGTTATAAGAGGTATCATGTGTTTCTACTTGAGCCCTGGGAGCCTTTGGTCTCTACATGTTAAAACCCTGAAGGGTTTACCCAAGTGCTGGTGGCTCACAGCAGTAATTCTAGGTACCCAGGAGGCTGAGATCTGAGGATCACAATTCAAGCAAACAGATTTAAGAGATTTTTTTTTTATTGTTGTTGTTGGTCGTGGGGCTTGAACTCTGGGCGTGGGTGCAGTCTGTGCGTTATTCAGCTCAAGGCGTGTGCTCTGCCACTTGAATCACAGCGCCACTTCCAGTTTTCTAGTGGTTTATTGGAGATAAGAGTCTCACGGACTTTGCTGCCTGGGCTGGCTTTGAACCGCAATCCTCAAATCTCAGCCTCCTGAGTAGCTAGGATTACAGGAGTGAGCCACTAGTGCCCAGCTTTAAGAGATTCTTATATTCAATTAACTAGCAAAAAGCCAGAAGTAGAGGTGTGGTTCAGGTGGTAGAGCTCCAGAAATAATAAAATAGGACTTCCACCATAGAAAATAATCAAGCTAGAAGACACTTTTGGAAGACTTTGGTAAATGGTAAGGGAAATCCTGCTGTAGAGAGTTCTTGGGAAGGCTTAAAAGTTCCTGGAGAGGAGGCTTGTGACTAGAGACCTAGAAGATTAAGGAATACAATTTCTTTTGTAGTTTTTTGTTTTGTGTGCCAGAATCCCGGCAGAGGATATGATCATCAGTAACACTCCATTGTCTACTAGGTCTTTTCTTTCCTTTCCCATCCAGGATTTCTTTGTCTACACCTCAGATCACAAAATGGGAATTCTCCATTCTCTTGCTTTGGCGCATCCCATAGCTCTAAGTCCAATGCTGTATTTTTGTCACTGTCCTAATTATGAATAGCTATAAATAAAATATACTATATAACAAGACATACCAGTACGTGTTGATTACAACTACAACAATCTCTTTCCAGGCCACTGGCCTTTCTATTGCCCAGGAAAGCTCTATAACACAGTCTTATTCTGATACCCGAGATTAAAGGTCAATGATGGCTCTTCAGTGTTTGGGGGGTTTGTTTTGTCTGTGAGTACTGGGGCTTGAACTAAGGGTCTCATACTATCACTTAGCTTTTTCACTAAAGGTTGGCTTCAGCCTTTTGAAATTCTGAAAACAAAAAGCTTAACAAGACAAACAAAAACTCAGTGGAAAGTCTTTCCTGTATGGGAGATCCAACTGAAGCAGAATATCAGGGCTAGAGGACACAGGGGATGTATTAGAACAGTACAATAAATAAATAGGAGAAAAATAAAGATGTACAAATGGAACATGGGAGACAGCTGTGGCACTTGAAAGACCAAAGAAATTAATGATGGGCATAGAAGAAGAATAGCTGCAAGCTAAGGGGATAGAATAAAACAAAAAATTTTCTGAATCCTGAGAAAGAAGCAGCCAT